GCATGTGTGCCCTCAGTATGTGCATTGCATGTTGGGGGGTGTGTGGCAGACGGTGCTGCAAGCACACACGGTCTGTAGGAGCAGATGCTGTAAAACCTAGACTGGTAGAAATTGCTCGTGCATGACTTAACGCAATAGAGCAAAAAAGCACTGAGAGGGAAACCAGATTGAGTTGTGGTAATGAGAGCTTTGGCTTAATATTTACTAGTACCAAAGCTTCTCTATGAGAGCCACACCTTGGGCTGTCCATGCATCCATATAGGATGCACCTGTGCCAGGGAGCATGGGACAATCTGACCCTAACTTTCCCTTTGCTTCGGTATTGATGGCCAAACATCTATTGCCGCCAGCGCACAAACATCATAGGAAAGAATAGCAGAGCAGTGGGACTGTGCCTGAACAGGATTGAGTTGTTCACAGCCCAGCCTTTAATTAATCCTAATAAATAACAATAAAATGTGATAATCACAGAAATAAATCTGCACTGTGAAGCTTCTGCCTCTGGCAGCGGTCTAGTTTAGCTGATCATTTATAACGTAGCTGATGGCGCAGAGGCTGCAAGGTGATGTCTGGAACATGAGATGCTGAGGCCAGAGCAGCTTGTCTCCTTGCCCAACCACAGGCAAAGAGATTTGGGGAGCTTTTTGACCCCAAATGAGTTGTTTCAAGCTGATTTCCAGCTTGGTCTAACCTATAGCAGGGACAAAAAGCTACTGGTGGAGAAGGGATTGCTTCAAAATGCAGTGTCTGGGAAGAAAACAAAAAGACATCTAAAGATGCTTGATAAGGGGTCAATGCTGTGGTGCAACGCATGTGAAATTCCATCAGTTTGGATTTGGGAAGCTGTTTTCTCTGGGGTGGGCACAAAGAGTGAGGTGGTGGTGGTGGAAGGCGAAGCGAGCTTGGTCACAACTGGATGGGCCACCGAGTTGAATGGGTTGAGCCAGGCTTAGCCCCAGCTTTGCCTCCCCACGATGGAGCTTGTACCCTGCTAAGTGCAAAGCAAGCAGCGATCAGGTTGGTGATTTCACTGAGCTCTTTTCAGTTCTAATTAGCATGATTCATGGCTTGTGTGTCCTGCTGGGTTGAGACAATCTGTGCTCTCCAGCCCAGCCCTCTGGAACACCAGCGATTTGCATTGAGAGGCAACCAAAAAGTGCTGTGCGCCAATTAGTACACTTGAGTAATTAAAAACCTCCTTCCTCCCACTGCTGGGCCACGTCCTCTCCCGTCATTTTCTGTGTGCAAACTCAGGAAAGCAACGAGAGGGATTTAGGATTTCATTGTCATCGCTGTGTGTCCATGCCAAAAACACAGGGAGGTCCCTGTGGGAAGCCATCAGGGAGCCCAGTTTTGGCACCCTGTCGCTAGTTCATTCCTGATACTCAATAGTGGTGGCTGCGGTTTGGTGGTGGGCTCTTTGGGAGCAGATCTGCGTCTGTAAAGCATCCTGCTCCTCCTTGTTTTATCCCTACTGAGGGCTCTGTTGGCATTTATAGCCCTGTTCGTCTTCGTGCTTACGTTACCTAAGTTGGGCAGAAATCTGATGGTGGTGTTCTCCCTATTCCAGTTTCTGTCTTTGACTGGTGTCCCTGCAGCCAGGCTGGGTGTTGACTGCACCCATGGGCCCCTTGCATGGGATGAGGAGGGTACAGGCATGAGGACTTTGGCTGTGGGGAAGAGCAGCCAGTCCCTAAAGGACCGGCTTGCTTGTTGAGGGCAGATAGCAAATCCAAGAAGCTTTGGCTACTGGAGATGTTGGGACAGGTCGGGAAGACGTATGCTCACAAATCTCACCTTTGCTTGATGCATGCAACTGTCTTAAAATGCCCAAACTCCGTCATTTGTGGTCATTTGAGTGGCAGCAGGGAGCAGATGGTCTGATGTAGCATTAAGAGCTACATCTCTCTGCAAACCGTTACTACCTGATGCAGGAGTCGTGTGTTAGCAGCGTCTCCAGAAGGAGAAACCCTGAGGCTTGGGGTTTGGTTTAGCAGGAGAGAAACAGCAGAGAGAGGGAGAGCAGCAGCATCTCCTCCTTGTGCTGACAGGCAGCAGTTTTTCATCCTCCTGGAGGAGAAGGCCTTGCCTTCTGAGCGGGAACATAACAAGGATTAAGGATCTTGAGGGAGAAAATTACCTCATCTGTGCTTAATTGTTTTTACATCATCTTTTTGGAAGCAGGAGCTGCTTTCTGGCACCCCAAGGACCTCTCGCTCCCCTCCCTCCTTGGCACATTATGGGGAGAGAGCCTCCAGCGAGGTGGAGGAAGCATCTCAGGGCTTTGCTCCTTGCCAGGAACAGGGTGGGAAGAGGGGAGGCTGCAGGCTTGGTAGTGCATTTGCTCTCCACCTGTGCTTGGAGCCCAGCTTCCCATCCAAAGCCAAAGGTTTTCCGCTCGGCTGCCTGTGTACGGGAGAGGAGAGCTTCCCATCCCGGCTTCTGGAGAGGGGAGCTGCTGGAGGAGGGAATGGGGAGCAGATGGAAGGGCTGGAAGAGCATCAGGTCGCTGCGGCAAGCCTCGGCCTCGGGGATCCCATCCGGCACGTAGGCGAGGAGGAGGAGGGTTTAGCGCAGTGGCTGGAAGGAGCCTGGGCAGAAGCACAACCCACCACCCTCTAAACAGCACATCAAACCCAGAGGTCAAAGTGTGTCTTCCCCAGGAGCTCTTTCTGTGCTTTATTATATATATTTTAACTCAGGAGCTTGAAAGGAGGGGAGAAAATGCAATAACAACGTCAAGCTTGCCCATCCCAGGGACAGAGAAGCGTGTCTGGATGATAAGAGATTGTGACCGGGTGCTGTGAAGGGCAAAAGCACTTATTTCACTGTTGCCTCATGCGTTACCTCAGCCCCGTTGCTTTTCAAAAGCACTTTAAATGCTCATATGATAGAGGGAATGCTTGGTTTGCACACTGTCTGGCTCCATTATTATCCAGGGATCTCCAAACCGATGCATTTCACAGAAAATGCTGCTCGCTGTCACCACAGGAGCTTATTTCATGGCCTTGCAATGAGCCCAGCACCAAATATCCCCTGCATTAAGCTGAGCCCAGCAGGTCTGAGCTCCCAGCAGAGTTGAGGTTCAGAGTACAAGGTGCAGTAACCATCCTTTGGGGTGAACCCTCAAGTTTTGCTCAACTTGAGCAAGTGAACTCTCAAGACTTGCTCCAGTTGTAGCAGAGCTGAAAACCAGAGCCAAGTTCTTGGTGTTCAGCCCAGGCTGAATCTATTGCCTCTTTTTATGTAGATAATAAAAATCTGCTCACATGTAATTTATTATTATCGTAATATCATTATGGAACAGCAGTAAAATTGTTTAATATCTCAGATGTTTTTCACACCGGAGAGGGAGGAGGATGGTGCAGTAACTTGGGTACTTGCCTAACAGATCAGCAGGCGAGTCCTGGGCTGCACCCTACCCTTCTCACCTTGCGGACATCACCGCATGGGGACCCATCATCCCTAACCTCCAAAAGGAACAGGCTTCCTAAAGAAATGATGGAATCACCGTCCCTGGAAGTGTTCCCAAACCGTGTAGATGAGGCCTTCAGTGCCATGGCTTAGTGGTGGCCTTGGCAGTGCTGGCGGATGGTTGGACTTGATGATCTTGAAAGTCTTTTCTAACCCAGTTGATTCTTTGATTCTCTGTTGTGTGTGGAGGCTGAGTGGGTTATTTAAGCTTCTGCTGTCATTCTGGAGCCAAAGAGGCTCCGTAAAGAAGCTGGGTGAGATGAGACAGCTTGACCTACCACAGCCTGGCAGAAAGAGCCCATTAAGCCTCTTGTATTCATTGAGGTTACCCCGTGTGAGACCTCACAGAAGCTGCTGTGCTCTTTTTTGGTGCCTCTGAAGTTAATTTGCATCCAAGCTACTGCACAAGTAATGAAGTAGATTGGGGAGAATATAAACAGTGGATCTTAGGCTGAGTGGTTTTATGCAGGGACATTATCCTCTGTTGTTGCATCCAGCAAAGCGCGGCTAAATCCTAATGGCTCCATAATCCCAAACCTGCTCCGTGAGAAGCAGGGGTTTGACTAGCTTGGGATTGGGAGGGGGCTGCAGCTCCCTGCAGGGCCAGCAGAAAGGCTGCATGGCTTCTGCTGCTCACTCATCTGGAGATGATTTGTGGACATAGAGGTTTCAAACCTTGCTTGGGGATGTGAGGATGGTGGGTTACAAGCTAGTGGAGACCTTCAGGAGGAACAAGAGTGGCCCCTGCTAATGTGGGCATTAATAATCTCCTTCAGGAGCAAAGAATCACCTTGGTTTGCACCGTGGTGTAGACTCAGTTGTTTAATAAAGCTGGATAGAGATTTCCACCTCCAAAGCATCACTTGACAAGGGAAATGTTTAGCTGGGGTAAGGTGCAGTAAGTGAGGGAGATGCAATGATGCAGATGATGGGTAGGGAAGGAAGAGCTGACAGAGGGAGAAGTGGTAGGAAGCAAAAGCTTCCTGTTTAGAGATGTGATAGAGCTGGCTTCCTCCTCAGATAAATTTTCCTTGCTCCTTTGTGAAGCAGCCTGAGCTGCTTTCCTGGCTCCACTTCACATTTCTTTGCCTGACACAGGGATATGCGGGTCTGAGAGAATGACAAGTGATGGGTTTGGGCAGGAGGAACTGAGCTGCATCCCCCCAAAAGCATGGTTTGGGCTCAGGACGGAGGTTTTAACTTGTCTCTTGAGTTTGCAAAGGAGCAAATGGGAACAGAGGAGTCTGTTGGTGGCTGGTACCGCGTGGCTCTGACCTCTTTCTGTCTGAAATCGTTGTGAAGCTCTTGGGCAAATCTCTGGAGCCACCAGTTTAGATGGATATTGGTGCTCTGAGCAGGTAAAGTGCCGACATTGTCCTCTTTGGACCCTGAAAACACTTGGTCTCTGAAACTGATGCTGGCAGCAAAGCTAAATACAGTGCCCAAAGGACCAGGAGGGGCTGGGGAAGGGAGGGCAGAGCATCCAAGATCAGCTCACTGATGGGTCACCTCTTTGTTCTCCCCAGGTGCACCGTGGACAACCGAGTCACCCGAGTGGCCTGGCTGAACCGCAGCAGCATCCTCTATGCCGGCAATGACAAGTGGTGCTTGGACCCTCGGGTGGTGCTCTTGGCCAACACCAAAACCCAGTACAGCATCCAGATCCAAGATGTGGATGTCTATGATGAAGGCCCATACACCTGCTCTGTGCAGACAGACAATCACCCCAAGACATCACGCGTCCATCTCATCGTGCAAGGTAAGAGGAAAGGAGTTCATAAAGGGGTTGGGCTTGCTTTGATTCCTGTTCTTCCTTTCTACCCTGGTGTCTTCTCTTCCCATTGCTCCTACTTCTAGCTTTTAAGACAACTTGGTGCAAATGCAGAGGCTTGGAGAGCCCCAGTGAAGCTGGGTGATGCCTTTAGCCAGTTTTCCTGGAGTAGTCACGGAGGGCTGATACAGCTTTGCCTCCTGAAGTAGTCACTGGCAAACCCATGATGCTGGTTGTTGTGATTTGATGTTGGGTTGTGTTTGTTTTCCATGCTGGAGGCAACGCTTGAAGTAAAACTTGTGTTGAGGGAATAGAGCGAGCTGGCAGATTTGTGTACTCTGTGGGGGTGTGTTTAAGCCTAGCAACAATATGTGTTTGTGTGTTGAAATTGTACTTCTGAGGAGGAGGAGGAGGAGGAGGAGGAAGGTTGGCATGGGGTGGCAGAGCTCTTGCAGCATCCTGCTGGTGCTGGTCCCTGAGTGCGCATCGATGATGCACAATGCACGTATGTGCTTTCTTTGGCAAGCATACAAGCAACATGGGCCTCTTAAGAGGGGACCTACATGTGTGGGCACACATGATGAGCAAGTAAATGAATGTTCATGCCACATCCAATCCGTGTCTGTGCTGCAGGACGCTGGGAAAGGAGGAGCACACGTGGTGGGACATTCGGGCTGCAATGTGCTGCCTTGGGGAAGATTAATGGCAAGTCTCTAATCCCTTGCTAGCAAGCTCTTTTTCCTTCCTCCTTCCTCTGTGCCCTGAGCGGGAGCACTCTTAGCATGAGACACCAGCTTGAGTATTGGAATCTCGTCTGGGGCTAATTTTCAGATGCTGATGGCTGTATTGATTTGGAAACAAGCTGGGTTAAAAAGCCATTGGTCTTGTATGCAGAGTCAGGTTGAGCTCAACCACCATCGATACGCCAGGCCCAAGCTTTATTGGCAGCCTAATGAATAGAAGCAGGGGGGAAAACCCAAACCCAGGGCCTTTATTTCCCCCCCCTGCTTCCCCCTTTCTGTTTTCTCTTTCCTCTTGGAGCAATCAAGCAAACTAAACAGAGCCAGACTTCCTCCATCTCCATTAACCATGGATGGAAACGGATGCATCGCCAGCCCAGTTCCTTGCTCTTTATCTTGCAATACCTGTTATTACCTGCCTTAGTTTCTTAAGCCAAAGTCGGTCACCCGCAAGTTCTGAAGTGGCTATCAGATGCTGGGGTGATGCAGGACAATTTCTATCTGTTCTGTTCTGATGCCTGTTTCCTAAATTGCCCCGTTTCACCAGACATCCAGGCCCATCCCTCCTGTGTCTTGCTGTATCGTTAGGAAAAGATGTTTGGGTACTAGAGGAAAAGGTTGTTTCTTAACTCCTTGCCGCAGTGCACTTCAGTAGGATTCAGTGATGGGCTCAGTACTATGTCCGTGCTGTGCATCCTTACAGAAATACTGGCCTCCTAATTCCAAAAGCTTGGCTCAACCAGCCCTTTCTTGCATGGAAAGTGGCAGAGCAGGACATGAAGGTGAATATTGTGTCTAAGTAAAGGGAAGCCTTAATGACCTTAGTAAGTATTTGGCTGGGGTACCAGGATTAACTCTCCTCCCTTGGAAAATGGGCCCAATGAATATGCAATGTGTTATAACCCTGCCCTGACTTTCCCCTTGCTGCACCAGGAAAGGGCCTGGGGGCACGCAGGAGCACTCCAGCCTCTCAGGATGCAATTAAATCATGCCCTGGGGCATGTTGTGCTCTCCAAACAAGGTGCTCTTCCCCTTCCAGCCAGGGTTTCAGCAGCCTGATGCTCCCCCAAGCAGGCCTGATGGGTGCATATCAGCCAGGGTCCAGGAGCCCTGATCCCATGTTGTGCATCCCTCCTTCTCAACAGCTTTAAGGAATATCACTTCAAAACAGCCATGGATGGAGGGATGTAGAAAGGTGGGGTGCTGGAGGAGGGGGTGCTTTAGGGGGAAAGAGCAAAAACTAGAAGAGGGATAGAGGTGAGAGAAGGAGCTTCCTTTAGAGTATGAGGGTTGGGGATGGTGCCCCAAGGCAGAGGGAGGGAATGAGCTCGAAACCACCAGGAAATCAGAATGTCCACGCTGCAGCAAGGGGAGTGCTGCACATTTATTTCTAGGTTGACTGTATTGATGGCTGAGAGCCCAAAATAGGTGGGTAGAAGGCACCTCAAGAGCTAATTTAGCCCATCCCTCTGCAACAAGGCTGAGCCATCACTGGCAAACACATGTGAAAGCTATTCTTGAAACTCTTTAACAAAGCAGGTTCTTCAGCCTCCCTTGACGATCTATTCTATTGCTTCGCTACCTTTATAATTAGAAAATGTATAGCTAATATCCAACTTCAACCTTCTTTGTTGCAAGTGGAGTTTTTCTCAGCCTATCCCCAGAGGATGTGGAGAACAATTGATCAGTGTCCTCTTTGTACCAACCTTTAGCTTTTGGGAAGGTTGTTATCGTGTTGCCACCTTCTCCCTGAAAGGATTCAAGCCCCGTTTCTCCCACCTTTCCTTGTCGGTCAGGCTTTCAGAAACACTTGTCAGTCTTAAAATCCTCTACAAAAGGCAAAAGGTGACTGCTTCCAGGAATAGCACGTTGGCGCATCTCTCCTTCCTGCTGCTTCTGTGCCGATATGGGACAAATGAGCCCCAGGAAGGAGACAACAGTCTCTTGGCATTGAATGCATCAAAGTTCAGACTTGCTATTTTGGGGACTGCTTTAAATTGGGTCAGGCTCAGTGTTGGTAAAGCCAAGTTGATGCAAGCCAACCACAGAGCTGCAAAAGGTCCAAGGAGGTTTTTAGCACCTGAAGATCTCAGACTACAATGAACAGCTCAGTGGGTGTCCATGTGTCTGGAAGCTGGTCTCTGCCTGTCCTGCTTGCTCAGCACTCATTTCCTCTTAAGAGGAGTTGCCATAAGGCCGGACAAAGTTCAGGGAAGCAGCACTGCCTGTGTTTGCCTTGGACCCTGGGAAGAGTGAGAGGTTTAGGGGTGTAAATCCCAAAGGGACAAAACCCAGGGAAGCCCCATTCACTGCAGGCAAGCTTTGGGAGGGAGGCAGAAACCCAGAGTGAGAAAGAACACTCAGGCCCCATTGACCTCTGAGAAGTGATGCTTTCCCTTCCTCTCCTCTCCTGTATCCCATCCTGGTCCTGCTTCTTGCCTCTGCAGCAGCATCTCAGGCACAGCCTCCCCCTTCTCCTTGCTCCTTGCATGACACTTCTGCTATTGAAGCTGTTCTCTGGGTTCCTGGGTTTAAAGGAGAGAGGGGAGGGAGGAGAAGGACAGTATCTGGAAAGCTCTTATTTGTATTGATAATAAGCCGTCTCCAGTGCGCGCCTTCAAAACTCCCACTGCCTTGTAAGATGCATTAAGGGAAGTTGGCCTTATCTCCGCACGGGAAATGGACTTGGGGAAGGAGGCACAGTACTGCCAGAGTTTAATCTCACTTAGGCACACAAATTTGCATGATAGAAAATGGTGGAATTTTAGTGCTTCCAAAGAAAGAAAGAAGGAGGGGAAAGAAAAGGCGGGCGATTGAGGGGTATTAGCGCTTTCTGCTGCTTTATCAGTTCCCCTCGCCCTATCTGGCTCTTGCTGTTGTCACTGGAGCTACTAATCACCCCTCCCCTTTTGTTGGAGGTAAATGAGGTTTCCCACTCTTTCTCAGGCCTGGGGTTAAGCTGGAAATCCCTGCCTTTATTAGGGAGTTAATTACCTGCTGCTGAAGTAAGGGGGCAGTGAGTGAAGGTGGTGGGGTGACACTCCAATGCTGGTGGCACCTCACCCCATGACAAAGCCACCCCGGGAGCATCACTGCCAAGGTGTGTGCTGGTGAGATAAAGCCACCGGTGGGGCTTTGTTTCAAACCTTTTACTCGGGGGAGAATAAGGAGAACTTTTTGATGGTTCTATCCTGCCTTGCATTGGGGTGCATGGGAATTGCCTGCCTTGCAGAGTGGAGGGAGGCTGGGAGGAAGGATCAGTCCCTGCAGGCACCATCACTCTGGTCCAAAGAGCTCAAGGTGGCTTGTAGGGAAAGCAGGCTGGGTGGGAATGCATTGCTTGTGCCTGGTTTTTACTGGGGATGCTTAGAACCTTCGTAACTACTCTCTACCAAAGAACTTGGGCATCACTGACGGAGCTGGGAGGGTCCCCATGGGGCCGAGCCTGTGCCCTGCACTGCCAAAACCACAGTGGGGTGAGAAGGTGCAGAGGGATTCGCACAGGGCTCTTTGGTGACTCAGTTTAGTTGGTCACATGCTGCATAGGATGAATCCCAGCAGAAACCACAGCTTCTGGCATGGGTTTTTCGGGTGCATCCATAACTTTTTGCCCATGAGAGCAGCTTTTCTTTCTAGAAGCAAAAGCAGGTTTAGATAATACCTTCTGAAAGGCGTGTGGAGAGCTGGGAGAGCCTCCCTAAATGGGTGGAGGGGAGGAAACCAGCGGCATGAAATGGAAATCCTCCCTCGCTTCGCCCGCGCTCTCAGCTCCGGTGACTGATGCGTTCCTTCCCGTCTCCCTTTGTTGCTAATAGCCATCCGTCCATCAAAGCATCTTTTCCTTTTGTAGCAGAGCTGTTGTGGAGGACTGAAGGTCTCCCACGCTCTCTCTCGCGCTGTCCTAGTTGTTGGCTTTGTATCCCTGCGTTGCTGTTCCCATAGGAAGCATCTCTGCAGGTCCCACATCCGTTTCTGCCCCCATATCTCTCCATCTCCCCCCTAAGATTACCAGCTCCGTCTTCTCCATCAGCCCAGTCTGTGGGTTTAACCCACTGATGTTCTTCCTCATGTGGCCTTCTGGAAGCTCCCCCCCTTCCCCCCAAGCCACTTGACCTCTTTGCAAATCAATTTAACATCTGTGAGGCAGAGATAATAATTGTCACCTCCTTCACAGGGGGGTTGATGAGGATTAATTCATTAATGTCGACAGAGGTCTTTGAAGATGGAATGTGCTATCTGAGAGCTAAA